GCTGCCAGGCCTCTCCCCGCTGCTCACTCCGCAGCCTGCAGAGCATGGCCTCCCTGGCCTCCTTGTGCCTTTCCTGCCTCCCCCTGGCCGCCGTCCTCCCTACCGTGGCCCCCGTCCCCAGGTCCAGCTCAGTGTCACCTTCGGCAGCAGAGCAGAGGAGGTGGTGAGGGAGGTGACAGCCCCGAGAGCCCCAGAGTCTCCAGGGCTCCTGGGAGTGAGGTCCTACACGAGGTCTGCTCCCCGCTCCTGTTCCTGCAGACTCTTCACTGAAGGGAAGGCCGGCTCCTCCCTCGGGGGCATTCTGTGGGAAGGCGGGAGAGGCCCCCACGGACGGCGGGCCCTGCGGGACCCTGGGAACCGCTGGTGGATCTTCGGCCAAGGATTCGTCCCGCTCCGGATGGGACTCGGAGCCGGGCTCCAGGAAGGTCGACCTCCCGTGTGTGGGAAGAGCTCTCTCCGCCAAGAGCTGGGGTCGGAGGTGGGCGGGCCTGGGCCGCGCTCCTGTGTGGTCCGGGCGCACCCCTGCCCCGCAGCCTCTGTGCCCAGAGCCCCTGCCTAAGGGCCTGAGAGCCCCGCGATAACCCCTTTTCAAAATGAGAGGGAAACCAAAACAAGCAACGGGTGGTGGGGAGGCCTTTGGCCACCGACCCTGAGAAAATGTGTGGTGTTCCTTCGATGATACCGCTCTTCTTGGGTTTTGATTGTCCTTCCTTTGGGCGGGTCTGAGTCCTGCCAAGTTCAGAGTTTACAGCCTCAGCTACTTTAGGAAAACAGGACTCATAAAAGCCTTTACAGCTTTCCTCTGAGTGATACGTCTGTGTGGACTCCAAGGCCTGGAAACTTCAGAAGTGAGGGGGTTCTACCCCAAACCACAGAAGCCAAAGACTCGCCTCACCTCTGGGCCCCAGCCACAGCAGGGAAGCTTCCTCCTGGACCCAGCTGCGGCTTGTGTGGAAAATCTGGTTTCAGACGCCGTGGACGTGGCCTCCCGGGGGATCGCAGAAGGGCCCTCAGACGCCGCCGCTCAAGTGCTTCCCAGAGTGGGCGCCTCCCCGGGCCAGCGAGGAGCAAGAGAAAGCTGAACCTTGGAAAGCTGGCTGTGTTTTCAGTTCTCCAAGTAACATTCTCTGCTGTAGACGTTTAAACTGCAGGTAAAGGAAGGGAAGAGTGAGCCACGGCTTCCCCGGCCCTGACGACCGCAGCGGCCATGGGAACGCGCCCCGTCTCGCCCGTGAGAGCCGCGCTCCGTTTCCTACTACTCAAAACTGTAGGCAACACTCATGATGGGGTCCCCTGACTCGCGGGCACTTGTCCGCCGCCGTCCCCCGGGGCTGTCCCGCGGTGCAGCCCAGACAGCACGTCATCGTACCTACACGTGCAGTGCATGTCTTCCAAACTGGGGGCTCGTTTTGAGAATCGTGGCAGTCAGCCATCAGTCCGCCCCCCGCCCCGGGGCTGGATTTCCGCGGTCCCCCCGTGGTGTCGCTTGGCATGCTCTTCTGTCCTGGGTATTCCCTGTTTTGATTCGCTTTGTTTTCTCAAATTGGTTCTGAATCTGGGTGTTTGCCAGAATTCTGGCCTCAGGTCTCGGCAAAATGGCGAGTGCGCCTCCCTCAGGAGGCAGACGTCTGGTGTCCCCCTCGGCGTCAGTGGTCACTGCTGAGATGGTTTAAATCCGAGTCCTGCCCTGGCCCCGTTAGCCAGGGGTCCCCTGGAGCGCTGTCTGGGTGGCCGCTGCTCTGTGGGGCTGAGGTGAGGTCTGGAGGCGATTCGCGAGCCCTGGGCGGTGTCCACAACAGTTGTAATCAAGATCACGTTGGTTTTGGGCTCCAGTGTAGACGGTCGCCCACGCCTCAGCATTTCTCCCAGCGGTCGGGCCCCCGGGCATGCTGGGTCCCCCGCACAGAAATGCTGGAGGGAATCCCAGACCCCACGTGACGTCCGGCTTTGTCCACGGGGTGGTCACCGAGCGCCTGTTAGGGGTCGGCGCTGCTGTGAAGCGAGGGGTGTTTTGTACGGCGCGCGTGTGTGGCGGAGCCCGCAGGCCTCTGGGCGCGGAACAGGTGGCCGGCAGCGGCAGGGGGGAAGGGCCTCGCGGGGGCCGTGGCATGGCCGCCCCGGGGGCCGCGACCGTGGCCGGGCTGACGGGGGCAGAACTCAGGCTGTTCTCTGACTTTGGATCACAGCATGTAGGTGTCGAGATGCCGTGAACTAAGCATTTAAAAAATGCTTTCACGCTTTTCCTACGAGGAGGGAACACAGGTTCAGTAGAAGTTGAAAGGCTTTTCTCGTGGGAAACGGGCGGTGGTGGCGGCTCTGAGAGCAGGGTGATTCAGACTGCGAGCGCGGGGCCCCTTCTTCCCCACAGGAGGCCGCGCCCACGCACAGAGAGGCCCCGGGCAGACTGTGACCCGCTTCCCTGGCTGTCACACGAGGAGCCCCAGCGCACGGGGCAGTGCCGGCTGGGTCCCTGGTGCGGGGCAGAGCGGGAGCCGGGCCCGTCTCCGTCCCGCAGGGCCCAGGACTCCCGGCGGGGGGGTTGCGGTGCAGCTGGCGCTGGAACTTCCCTACCCCCGGGTGGGGGGTGATGCCGTCGAGCTGGGGAGCACACAGCAAGCAGTCAGCGTGGCTCAGCGGGGTGGGAGGGGGGGCCCACGTGTGACCCTTCTGGGGTCTTGGCCTCTTCGGGGGTGAGAGTAATAGCAACAGGCACAGGATTTGGACTTCCGTTTCGCAAGCACAAGGATGAGGATTTTTTAAAGTAATTTGCTTATTCTATTATTTTTTGAGGGGGGAGGGGCAAAGGCAGAGGGAGAGAGACAGAATCTCAAGGACACTCCACACTGAGTGCAGAGCCGGACTTGGGGCTCGGTCTCACGACCCTAAGATTTCTTGAGCCACCCGGGTGCCGCGGGAATGATCATTTTAAAAAAAAACTTTCTGTTTTGCAAGAATTCCAGATTCATGGAAAGTTGCAGAGAGATCCCCTTCAGCCACCGTCCCTGACCCTGGTAGCCACCGTCAGCACGTGGGCCCTGGCAGACTCTAGGGGAGAACTAGGTATTGGGGTGCCTGGGGTCTCTGCTCAGCACCTCGTTAACCGTCCGCGCTGCTGGGCAACAAGGTGACATCATCACCGTCGTCATATTACAAGCAAGAAACCCCTGCAGGAATTCAAGAAATCCGTGTAATTTGCAGGGGGCTGCTCAGGTTCTTGCCTGGGAGGGTTTCCGTGGACACGCACCTTCGTGGCTGCAGACCTCCCGGAGCCCCCTCTGCACCAGGCCAGGTGGCTGGACCCGGCCCCGCTGTCTTTGGGGATGGAATGCGTTTGGGCTCCTCAAAGGGAAAGCAGCTTGGGCCCACTCTGTGTTCCTCCCCGGGAGTGTTCTTCCTGTGCCGTGTTTTATGAATTTGTATTTCACGTGAAGTTCACAAGACGTGTCCCAGCACCTGTGAAATTGTTACGTTTAAAACGCGGGTGCTGAACAGGCCCGGAGGGGCGAATCTGTCTGCCGTAGTGGACGACACTAAGGACGCTGATGGTCTGCAGCAGGGGCCGGGCCTGGAGGCCGGGGCCGGGGGGCCACGTGGTCTGTGGTAGAAGGTGGAGGTGGAGCGCTGTGGAGATTTTCACAGGTGGTTTAGCAGCATGACTGATACTAACGGATCATTTTGCTCTCGGTGTTAGTGTCTGTGAAGCCGTGGCGTCCGCGAGGTCTTCGGTGGGAAGCGCTGGCAAGGATCAGCGCCTCTCGGGCCTCATGGGGCCCGCGGGCCGAGGCCGTGGGGCCGCCACGCCTCTCCAGGCTCGGGCCTTGCCTCCGAGCCAGGGACCGTTTGCAGGTGTGTGGAGCCGCCAAATCCATGCAGGAGAATTTCAACCCAAAACGGTCCTCTAATTGTGTGTGGCCGCACTTTGGGATCCGCGCCGACTTCAGGCTGCACATGCTGCGCGCAGACTCTGCCGATGATCCACGAGCACGTTAGTGACGTGGATTTCTTCCTCTGTCGTAGTCAAGTGCATGTGCCCTTCACCCGAACTTTGGGGAACTGTGTCCAGCCCTCCTTCTGTTCTTTCGCTCCCATTTTACTTTTCTGGGAGGCGGGTGGACCTAAGCTTCCGTGTCTTTCTCTGTCCACGGCGTTGCACAGTCTTTGCAGAGAGATCACACAGAACAGAGCCAGGGCCTGGGGTGCTCTGAGGGGCCGTGCTGTCGGGCGTCCCTGCGCCTGGGTTCTGTCTGGGGCGAGTGACCGCGCTCCCAGAGGCCCTTTTCCTTCGTCGTCCCTAAGTGGGACAATTACAGCAAACCTGTGCGCTGTGGTAGGGCGGAGTGGCTCCTGTGGGCTCTTCCCACAGGAGCTGGCCCCTGCCACACGCCGTCCCTTTCCCCTCACCAGTGCCAAAACGATAAACCAGCTCACACCAGTGGCATCATGCAGCGCCAGCGGTTTGCCCGTGTTCTCGTGGTCTTGACCAGAAGCTCATTCTGTGTCGTGCGTCATGCACAGACCGCGGGACTGGGGGGGCTGGGGTCGCTGCGAACCGCCACGCAGAGGGGCCAGCCACGCCCAGACTGTTAAGCCCTGCACACGGCCGGTCAGTGGGGCGGGGGGATTAGAACCGGCCTTCCCGGTTCTTAGGTCAGGCTCTTACCTCAGTGGTTTTGGAAAGATCTTGAGTTAGTTCTGAAACCTAGCTACGAGGGAGGTTAAATAATTGATGTTGGTCCATCACGAAGGAAGGAATACATTTTGAGGTCGTGGGTGGAAGAGGTTTCCCTCTTGTTCCAGAACGTTGTCCCGAAGGCCTGACAGGCTGAGGCGGATCGTCATAGTCTCGTAGCTGTTGGTTTTACTCTGTCCTCACGGACGGGGACGTTAACCCTAAGATGCTAAGGGATGCGGTGCCCAGGCCAGCGCCAGCGTGGCGAGCGGTGCCACAGTCAGAGGGGCGCTTGGCGTGCGTGTGTGACGCCCTGTGTGTTCCCTTTCAGCCCGTCCCTCCCCGCCCTGGACTGGCAGCTGCCGTCGCGCTCGGGACCCTACGAGCTGAGGATCGAGGTGCAGCCCAAGCCCCACCACAGAGCCCACTATGAGACGGAGGGGAGCCGGGGGGCCGTGAAGGCGTCGGCCGGAGGACACCCCAGCGTGCAGGTACCCGGGGTCCGTTCCCCTCGGGCACGCGCCCGTGCCCAGAGGTGGGAGCTGGGGCTTGTTCGGCCCCCGCGGCAACAGCCGGCTCTGCTTCTCCTGTCTTCTCCTAAAAAACTGTCCCCTGCGGAGCGCTTGAGCTCTGCAGCGTCTGCACACACAGTCCGTGTTTCTCTCGATGCGCACGGCGGCTGCAGTGCGGGGCCCCGTGGCTCTTCCTTCCGCAGCTCAGAGCAGCTGCCATCATCGACCCTAAGCTTTGTGTGAAAAGAGGAACCCTCTCCAGTGAGTCCCAGAGACCGCGGGGAGCGGTCCGCGCATGGGGCCGTGGTCGGGAGGCCCGCGTCCCCCGGTGGGGCCGCGGCCTGCGACTCGCGGGGCTGGCTGAGGCCTGCTGTTGCTTTGCCCTGGCAGACACCGCCTGTCCCCTCGTCCTCCCCGGGCGGACACATCTGACTCAGACAGGATGAGAAAGCGGGGAAAGGACCCTGAGGGTCTGCCTCAGTTTCCTGGTGGCGCCGGCGGGCAATGTGGGTGGTGGGCTGTCTTCTGCGCCTCTTGGGAGACGTGACCCTGGGGGTTTTTTCTTTTTTAAGGTGTCCTGGAATAGCGAATTTTTTTTTTAAAGATTTTATTTATTTATTCATAAGAGACAGAGAGAGAGAGGCAGAGGGAGAAGCAGACTTCCCGCTGAGCAGGGAGCCCGATGTGGGACTCGATCCCAGGACCCTGGGATCATGACCTGAGCCGAAGGCAGACGCTTAACCATCTGAGCCACCCAGGCACCCTGGAATAGCGAATTTAAGAGAAAATAAATATAACCTTGAAATGAGGATGTTTTATTTTTGAGGACAGAAGTGTTGTCAGAACCGAGGAGAGCAGCCTGCAGGCTCAATGGGGCTTGCTCTCCAGAGCCTCACGCCCGCCTCCTCCCCTCCTCTGCTCGGCCTGGGGTGGCTGTCAGCCGCCCTGCTAGAAACACAGACTCTCTGGCCCACACAGACCACGGAGCCCGGAGTCCTGGGTGGGCCCAGGCCTGGTCCGTCAGCTTCCCAGCATGGCGTCTGTCCCTTTCCGCGCTTTGGGGTTCCTCAGGCAGGACACAGGAGGAATAGAGGACCTGCCAGGGCGCCAGGGAGCTCAGGGCTCCCGGGGGAGAGACGCCACACGCTGTCGGGGCCGGGCTGGGGTCTCCTGCCCACGTGTTGGGGTGACTCCGGGTGCTGGTCTCCCACCCCGAACACTTGGAGGGGAATAAGGTTCACTTGGCTTTCGAGTTGGAACATTTGTCATTGGTGGCCTGGGGCACCTCAGTCGCTGTGATGCAGGCGTCACCCTTCGCCCCAGGGAGGACGTGTGGGCGTGGAGGTTGGCTGCTGCGTGGGCGCCAGCGGACTTTCGTCAGATGTTACCCGACAAGCACTGACCCCCCGCCCAGCCCGTTGGTGGGACTCGGGTGGCCGCGTGTGGACGGGTCGCTCTCCTGCCCAGCGCTCCCGGCGGTGGACGGGACACGTGTCTCCCCCCGTGGGCCCCAACCCCGTCATCGGGGGACCAGGCCAGTCAGAAGGGTGCTCGGCAGGGTGCCCGTGTTTTTATCTTATGCCATTTAGAAAAACAGAAATCCTGTCAGGGACGGCGCCCCGGAGAGAGAGGCTGTCCGCCCGGGCGACAGCGGCGTGGACTTGGTGGGGCGGTGCGGCGGTGTTGGGCCGCGTGCCTGCCGCCGGTTAGTGCCCACGTGCGTGGCTGGGGGACCCGACAGCACGCGGCCGCCTGCTGGGCGTTTTCGGCCCCGCCTTCCCGGCGGTGCAGGTCCAGCTGCTCTGCATCCGCCGGGCTCTGAAATGGAGACACTTCGCTCGCTTTCCCGCTGCCGCCGCGCGGGGCTCAATGCCCTGCTGCAGACGGAAGCGCGCGTTTCAAGGCCGAGGAAATAAAGCAGCTCCAGGAGAAGAGGGAATCGGGCAGCAGAGGAACAATGGCCAGTTGGCCCCATTTCTCGAAATTACAGCAGCAAGGAGCTCAGGTCCTGCTGTTGGCGGGGTGGGGGGGCGCCTGTAAACATTAACACCTTTGTGTTGAAATCAAAGCACAGGGCTCATTGGGGACCACCTCTCGGCCCCGGCGATTGAGGGCTCCTGGAGGATGACGGAAGGCAGCCCTGGCACCTGCCTTTGTCACTCACCCCTCACCGGGCCCCCCACCCCCAGGTCCTCCGGGTGTGTTCGTCTACCTGTGTAGACATTACAGAGAGAATTGAGACATTTTGGAGAAATTAGCAAAACTTGAAACAGTATTTAAAATATCTTACAAATTATTTCAGATTAAGTGAAGGCAAATGCAAGAGGCTGGTTGTGGGTTTAAACAGGATGAACACCGCCCCCCCCAACCTTACAAGTGAAATGCAAAACATAAATGGTGCTCAACAGAAAATGTCAGATTCTGTCAGCACTTCTCATGGGTGAGAAATTAGTAATTTAGCGTTTTCTGATAGATCTGTGGCAGAGTGAATTTATTTCTATGCAAGTGTGAGGTAAGCAGGTACAAAGAGGGGGTTTTGGGGGGTTTGTTTTCTTTTTCAGTTGGCAGACCACAAATTGGATAAAAATAGAAATTGTGCACAATTTTAAAACAAGTGAAAATAGAAGTCTCTCAGTTGCCACAAAAGCACGCTAACTACAAGGGTTTATCCTGTGCTGAGTTTTTAGCGGATCCTCTGACCTGGGGCTCCAGCACCATGCCCGCTCCTCTCTCTGCAGAGGCCAGGCCACGCTGCGGGCAGTTCCTGGGGCAGCCGTGCACCCCACGAGCTGTGCTGTGGCCGGTGGGTCTGCGGGACGTGGGCTCTGGCCCGGGACAGACTGTTAGCGCTCAGACGAAAGCTGTCACATGCACTGAGGGCCCGGGGAGCCCGATAAAAACACGCTGTCCCCGCACCTGCCACTGTTCACCAGACTTTCAATTCCAAGTGTCTCCATCAAATCAAAGTCATTTTCTGCAGAATGGAAGTGCCCCAGCCCGGCCCCAGAAGCAGGACCTGCTCCCTTTCTGGAGTGTCAGTGACCGCAGGAAGGAGCTACCCAGCGCGCCAGCCCCCCTGCTCTACATCTGGGATGCGCGGCGACATGTGGGGCGTCCTTCTCAGGCTTAGTCCGAGCAGGACTGGAGGGTGGAAGGGCCTTCCGCGTCGTCCTCGTCTCTCCCTCCTTTCCACGTGCGGCCTGCCCTGGGTGGCAGGCCCCGACATAGGACCCCGCGGCCCGTGTTCTGTTTCTCCTAAGATCCCGCGTTCATACCCACAGTTGCGAAGGGTGACGGCAGTCAGTGCTCCTGGGCCCTCCCAGGCCACCCACCCTCTGTCCCGGCTGTCGTCCCAAGCCCGGGAGGTCCGTCTGCGACCCTCAGAGGGGCCGGCACTTCCGTGTGCATGGGAGCAAGGCCTCCCGGGTTCCCAGAGGCCTGGTCGCTGGGTCCTGGGCGAGGTGGGAGGCCACCGTCTGCCTTTGGTCTGGGGAGGGCCTGCCGTGGGATTCGCCTTAACAGGGGGTGTGGGAAGGCTGGTCCTCCTCCAGGGTTGCTGATGATAAACCAGAGCCGTATGCTGAGGGGTCTCCTCGCGGGGGCTAACTGGTTTGCCAAAGGCCCTCGCTCTGCTGGTTCTGGTTTCCCAGTTTGTTTCTCCATGTCCCCCGGCGCCCGCCCTCACTGCCGTCTGCGTGGTGCCCGGCGTTCCGGTCCACAGGGCAGGGTCCCCTGTTCCCACCTGCCCTCCCAGGGGCCCAAGGAGTGACCTGGGGGACATCGCTGACCTCTGACCCAGGGGTCAAGGAATGAAGCTCTATTTACTGAGTTACCAAAATAACTGCTCGATAGCATCTAGCCCACCACACAGGAGGCTGGTCTGTGTGAATAATTAATAGGTCACTGAAACAGGAAACCCAGGGAAAGTCTTGTGAAGTTGGAAACAGCATTTCAGGTCTGCAATTTGTACTGTCAGTTCGGCCCCCCGGTCAGTGTCGAGGGGCCAGCGAAGCCCCTTCTGGCGATGAAGGAATTGGCTCTGGAGCCTCTGAGGGACGTGGGGACCACCCTGGTGCAGGCAGCGGGTGTCCCGGCCTCGGGTGTGGGCGTGGCAGCAGGGGGTCCTGGCCTCGGGCGCAGGTGCGTGCCGCGGGGGTCCCGGCGTCTGGCCCGGGTAGGGCGGTGTGCCCTGGGGTGCTGGTGTCTCTCTAGGGCCTGGCTTCTAGGCTTACCTGGGCCCGCACAGAGCATGGCGGGTACTCGCTGCCACGTAAGTCCTCTGGGGGCGGAAACCCTGGGATGGACACACCAGGAAAGTTGGCAGAGACTCGCTGCTGCCGCGATGACTCATCATTTTACTCAGCACCCCGGCCCCGGTGTGGACGGTTCGAACACTCCCTAGAAACCGTTCTGGGTGTTCGAACGTGTGCGTCTGCGCTCACAGCACGTTTCCTTTCACCCAGAGGTCCGTCCTGTTGTTCCTTATGTGAGATGTCGTGGGGGGTGTTACCTCCTACTCTCAGGACGGGGCGTTAACCCGGAAAGCCAGGGTTTTCACAAAAGGCAGACAGATGGATGTCCCCGGAGTAAGTTATTACTTGACGGCAAACTTCTGTAGGGCCAGCTGGGGGCCATCTGGCCGGCTGCCTTTCTCGCTGCACCCCTCACACCCGCAGGTCTACAAGTGGTGCACCTGCCCAGCACCCCCTGACGAGCGAGGGCTCGTCCCCCTGCAGCAAAGCTGGGGAGGCTCCTGGGGCCGTCGAGAGAGACGCTCCCCCGCACGCGCCACTGTAAGAAGTGGCGTTGAGTTGACCAGACTTTGTCCTCATGAGGGAACCGTGGCCTTGTGTTGCCGTCTCCAGACACGTAGCAGAGGCACATGAGCTCAGGCGGGTTGCTCACAGCGATTTATAAACACCCGTGTGCGTTCCGTTGTTCAGCAAAGATGGCGGAGGTGTGGTTTTGGTTTTCCTTAG